GGGATGGAGCATGTCCGGGGTCTTAGCTCCCCACCCCGCTCATCCACGGTAGAAGGAGCTGGCTTCTCTTTGAGATCTGCAGCGCCCAGCTATCCATCCTTTTCTGTGGACAGGATGCGTCGCCCTGTCAACTTGCTTTGAAAATAAACTCGCTAATTCCAGCTAAAATTAGCTCCCGCCGGCAAAAGAATTGGAGCAGCTTCCAAAAACGGGGAAGCCCGGGGCTGCTTTCATCCACGCGCCCCATCTGATGTTTCTGTGACGCGAGTCTCCGCAGAAGCAAAGCCGCTGCCGAGTCCAGTTGCGGCTGGGTCAGACGATAGATGGAGCCGAAAGGGAACCGGGCACCTCCCTGGACAAACACGGGATCGCTAGTGAGATCTGCACAGATGGGCCTGAGGGCCGATTTCATCCGTGAACCAGTTCTGCACGGTGCTGGTGCACTTGTGCATTGAAGTAGCACTTAGGTGCCTCTTCAACACACGTGCTTTTAGTTTAGATCCTCTTTTCACCTCCAAGACTAGATGCATCCTCCCGAGCACGCTCCCCAGGTGTCCTTTGTGGCTGCTTATGGTCCGCTGCAATCCTTTTCTGCCAGGGAAAGTGCATAATCCCATGCAACTTCCCAAAATTGTAGCTGAAGGAAAAGGACAGCCAGGGGGGCCTGAGAGCAAGCCAGGAGGAGCCGGGGTCCCTGAGATGAGGGTTGGTGTGGCAGGTTGGGCTTTTGCCTCTGCTCTTTGTCACACAATCGGCCACCTTCAGCCCTGGGTGAGGAAGTTTAGCTTAAGGATGGGTAAGGTTTTGTATTTCATAGTGGGCCTGTATGGGTTAAGTCTTCCTTGCTGGGGTGGAGACCAGTCAATAGGCACCCTAGTGAACTCAACAGCCCCAGCTGGTGCCGCACACAAGGCACTGGCTAAAGAGCAGGTCAAACACCTGCGTGGTGTACCTTGCTCCTGGAGCAGCCTCCCGACCAGCCTAATGCAGCCCTGGTTGCCTGTTCCTGCCACAGCCCTCTTCCCTCCTCCTGTCAGGCATTGCAGCACATTGCAAAAACCCGGAGGGGCTGAACGGATCAGATGCCACGTCTAGGGAAGAGGAGCCCACTGCACAAATGCAGCGTGGAGGAGAAGTTGCTGAGCCCTGGCTCTGCTGAGAAGGAGCTGGGGGTTCGGTGGAGCACGGGCTGTACGTAAGTCAGCAGCAGGATGCTGTTGCAGTATATATATATTAAAAAAAAAAGCGTGAAGTTTGGGGCTCTATTAACAGAAATAGTTTAGGGAAGACAGAGAGGGTGATGGTACCGCTCTGCCCGGGGCTGCTCAGACCTCAGCTGGAGAATAGGGCGCAACTTTGGGTTGCCAACTCTGACTCTATTCTGGGAGGTTTTTTCTCATGATGTAAGGACATTAATGACTGATCTTCTATACAGTACTCGGGAAGGCAAATGCATGTGACTGTTACATTATACAAACCCACTGGACTACTATACAAATGGGATTCAACATTTAATATTTGGCCCTATCATTTATCTCCCGAGTGACTCCTGGAGATTTATGTGTAATTCCTGGAGACTCCAGGGCAATCCTGGAGAGTTGGCAACCCTAGCTGTAGTGTTGGGCTCTGTGTTTCAAGAAGGATGTGGAAACGCTGAAGATGGATGCCGAGGTGAAGGACCAAGATGACAAAGGGGTCGGGATAGTTTCATAGTACTTTGGGGTCAGGAGGGGCCTGAACAGATCATCTAGTCTGACCCCCTGCCACTGGCCGGAGCACACGCCGGGATCACACAACCCCAGACAGGTGTTCATCCAACTTCTTTTTTAATTTACCCAGGGTAGGAGCGAGGACCACCTCCCTAGGAAGTTGGTTCCAGATCCTAGCTAACCTGACAGTGAAATAGTGCCTCCTGATCTCTAACCTGAACCTGTTCTCCAGCAGCTTCTGGCCATTGTTCCTCATCACCCCAGGTGCTGCTGGGGGGAATAGGACCCTTCCTATTTGCTGCTGATCTCCCCTGATGAGTTTGTAGGCAGCCACCAGGTTCCCCCTCAGCCTCCGCTTGCTGAGGCTGAACAGGTTCAGGTCCCTCAGCCTCTCTTCGTAGGGCCTGCCCTGTTGCCCCTCGATCATGCGGGTGGCCTCCTCTGAACCCTCTCCAGGATGGCCACATCCTTCTTAAAGTGCGGTGCCCAGAACTGGACGCAGTACTCCAACTGCGACCTGACCAAAGTCGTGTAGAGGGGGAGGATCACCTCTCTGGACCGGCTTGAGATGCACCTTGGGATGCATGACAAGGTATGGCTGGCCTTGCTGGCTGTGGTCTGGCATTGGCGGCTCATGTTCATCTTGGAGTCAATAATGACTCCAACATCCCTTTCCGCCTCTGTGCTTTCAAGAGGGGAACTCCCCAGCCTGTATGTGTGCTGTGGAGTCCTTCTCCCAAGGTGCAGCTCCCTGCATTTGTCTGCGCTGAACCCCATCCTATTACCATCCGTGGACACTTTTGTAGTCTGTCTAAATCTAGTTGCAGCCTCTCTCTCCCTTTGAGTGTGTCCACCTCGCCCCACATCTTGGTGTCATCGGCAAACTTGGACAACGTGTTTTCCACCCCCTTGTCCAAGTCGCTGATGAAGATGTTGAACAGTGCGGGCCTGAGGACCGAGCTGTGGGGTACCCACTGCTCACATCTCGCCAGGTTGAGTACAGCCCGTCCATCACTACTCTCTGGGTGCGCCCCATCAGCCAATTTTTAACCCATCCAACTGTGCAGGCATCAATGCCACAGTTGCCCAGTTTACTGATGAGGATGGGGTGAGAGACGGTGTCAAAGGCCTTCTTAAAGTCCAGAAAGACTACGTCCATGGCAACACCATCATCCAAGGATTTAGTTACCTGGTCATAAAAGGCAATCAGGTTGGTCTGGCAGGACCTGCCTTTGATGAACCCATGCTGGTTGCCCCTGAGCATGATCTCCCCTGCCGGCCCCCCACAGATGGGGAAAATCCTTGAAAAAATTATCAAGGATCACAAGACCGATGTGAGGCTTATGGGCCTATAGTTTCCTGGGTCCTCCTTTCTCCCTTTCTTATAAATGGGGACAACATTAGCTAGTTTCCAAACTCCGGGCACCTGGCCCGTGGACCGTGATCGCCCGTACAGCCGGGCCAAGGGCACAGCAATGACCCTGCCAGCTCCCCCAACACCCGTGGGTGGAGGGCATCAGGGCCCGCAGATTTAAAAACATCCAGCCCTTCCAGAAGATCCCTAACTACATCTGCGCAGACCCGAGGCCTGGCAGTGCTGTCCCCAAGATAGCCCCTACCTGCGGTGGGAGAGCTGTCCTGGTCCCTGTCCAAGAAGACAGATGCAAAGAACTTGTTCAAAATTTCAGCTTTCCATCTGGCGTAGCCACAAGATCACCATTTGAGTCTAGCAGGGGCCCTACATTACCTGGCTCGACCGGGCTGCTTATGCCTAGGCTGCAACCGAGCCCCCAGCCGAACCCAGGATCCCGTCACACTGCATCTATCCATGTGAGAGGTGGCTCTTGCCTTGAGCTGCTTGCGAGCCACGTACAGAAAGAGTGGAGATGGTAATGTGGCATTCCTCCCATGTTATAGTTGAGCCAGCTGGGTTCAACGTGATCAAGTGACTTGCCCAAGGTCACGTGGGGAGTCTGTGGCAGAGTTTGCTCTCTGCTTTCTTCACATCCTTTCTCGTGTAAAGCTTAAGCTGAGAACGCAAGTGTTGTGGGGCGGGGACAGCCTCTTTAGTCTGGGCGCGTAACCACCTGACACAGTGTGGTCCAGATCCCTGGCTGGGGCTGCTAGACAGTGCTTGATGCAGTGGTAATAACAAAAAATAAATGACGTTTTCCACGAGCCCCAGAACTTCCCCACCCACCATTCCCACATCCCTGAGCGATTAATTCACCATCCTGCTGGGTGGCTAAGACCGATTCATCTCGTACTGAATCACGACGGTGTCTGACCCCTTCCCCACTCCAGCCGGTGCTTTCCTGTGAAGGTCAGTAATGGAGGTTTCTGCATCTGGGCAGCTTGCGCTGAGCGTCGGGTCAGCCAGGGGACTGCCGGAGCGACCGCAGAGCATCCCACCCCCTCCTCCTGCCTGCCAGAAATTGCTGAGAGAGAAACTGCATTCTTTGCAGTTCAAACCCTGCGTCAATCCCTGGCTATGAAATAGCTTCTGGTGTCCCTAGGCAGGAGACTACTTTGAGAGGCCGGTTAAAGTTAGGGAGAAGAAGGGGCTGCATCACGTGCCGGCTCCTTGCCCCACTTCCCCGCCTGGCACTGGATCCTGAAATCAAGGAACTCGTGGCTTTGAGCCTTGTCTGCTAGGGATCATCCCCCCGGGAGCCACGTGCCAAAAACAGCATGAAACCAGCAAGGATCTTGCTCTAGACTCCACGGCCTGACTTAGCCTGAGTGCTTTCGGCTAGAGGCAACTCGTATGCATATCTGAACTGACACAAGGGGGGCAGAGAGCCCGGGGATCGGGAGATGGAGATCGATGGAAGTTGTGTCTGAGTTAGGAGTCCCGGCTGTGTCCCAGAAGTGGGGATGAGGGAAGCTTTGCACACCAGTAACCAGAGAGGAAAGGACTGAGATCGGGCAGAGATGGCGGCAGCATGCCTTATTGGGGAACGTGTCAATATTCAAAGTGTGAAGCCTAGCTGCGCGATTCATCCAGGTGCCCTGCCTCCCTCTCTTCACGGGACTCCTGGTGCTGGCTCTTTGTCCTGGCAGCAGAGTGGCACAGCTGGCTTCGGGGGCGGCACATCTGGGGGCTGTTCAGCAAGGGCTCCTCATCTCCGAGGCGCACCTGGTCACACGTGGCGGGGCAGGAGCGTGAGCCGTCGGCCGGCTCTGCAGTTCAGAAGGGACCCTGATCCCCACCGTGGGAGGGGGGGCTTAGCTTAGGGCTGGTTAGAGCCCCCTTCATCTTCCGTCTCTCTCTCTCTTTCCCCGCTTCAGGAACGGTTGATGCTTTCCATCCTGCCCAAGCACGTTGCGGACGAGATGCTAAAGGACATGAAGAAGGACGCGAGCCAGAAGGAGATGCAGCAGTTCAACACCATGTACATGTACCGCCACGAGAACGTCAGGTGAGGGACGCGCCTCGTTCCCCGGGCACGGGGCGGCCGGGCGTGATTCTCACGCAGCTCAGGCCTGCACACAGGTTGCTCTGACCAGGCCTTTCTCCGCCTGTGCGGGTGCTGACGTTGGTCTTATCACACCAGCTAGCCGCACGTCTCCGCGGATGGGTCTGGGAGGACGGGGACAGCCCCGTTCCCGACAGGCAGTGATCCCCTTGTCCCCAGCTCACGCTCTCCAGCTTCTTTCCCCAGCATCCTGTTCGCTGACATCGTCGGCTTCACCCAGCTGTCGTCGTCCTGCAGCGCCCAGGAGCTGGTGAAGCTGCTGAACGAGCTCTTTGCCCGCTTTGACAAGCTGGCCGCGGTAAGTCAGCTCACGTGTTGCCTGGCAGATGTGGGATGGTCCCGCCTGGACGGACCCTCGCTGAGTTGGCCAAGCTCCCCTCATGAGTAATCTCACTGCCGTCTTCATGCATCCATTCCTCACCTCCCTGGGACTTGTCCTGCCCTGGAAGTGCAGGGTTGCAGTGCACGCACGCCCTGTTTTTCCCCTGAGGCAGGAGTTTACGCTGTGTTTATCCTGTGTCGGGGATAAGCAGGAAGCTCCAGGACTGTCTTGTCTGCTCTAAGCCCATGCATGGCCTGACCCCAAATTCTGGGTGAGGAGAGGCTTGGTCTGGCCCTCGGCGTATGTATAGCCTCTAGGCAGCACAATAGGGACCTCGAAAAGGGCTTTCCTTAGGCATCTCCGCTCCCTGTAGCATCACAGAGATCCCTGCTCTGATGCTCTGCGTCCCGGGGAGCTTTGTACCCTGGCAGGCCTGGCTGAGCTGTGCCCTGCTCTCTGGGAAGCCGCCTGCTTTCCTTGTCCTCCGGGGAGGGAGGGGAATGGAAAATGTCCAAGGGAAAGGCATGTCCGTGCTTGGCCAGGCCCGGGCTGGGCTCTGAGTCAGTGACGGGGAAGGGGAGAGAAAGCAGGGAACCGAGGAGGAAGGAGGGCTGAAGGAGGGAGAGAGGAGGACGCGAGGGATGCAGACGGATGGAGCTCACGGCATGTTGCAGCCGCCCTGCCAGACGCCCACGGCACTTGCATCCCAGCGCCGGACCCTGGGGTCTGGGTCTCTTCTGAGAGCTGAGGCCCAAGGTGCTGAGCCTCCAAGGCAAAGGCTGGCTCCCGTCGCCTCCCCAGGGCCTTCAGGACACCTTTTTGGGCACTCTGGTTATGGTGCCCCTCTCCAGAGAAATGAGCTGGCAAAACAACTAGGCAAGGGTGTTGCAAAGGTGGGGTTTAAACTGCTTCCTTTTTGAACAGAATGAGAGAGAGACCTAGGTGCAACCACCTGTCCGCCTTTCCCCGCCTCAGTTTCCCTGAGCATTCATTGGGGTTTGGTCCCTAACCCCTCACATCTCCCCCGACATGCAGAGCTGCTGTCCCTCCGGCAGCTGGCTTTTCTCGCCCTTGCCTGGACCTACACCAAAGCAGTCCTCCGTCCCTCTGAACCACGTCCCTTTGGCTCTCCTAACCCCAGCTCCGCAACCCAGCCAGGTCCTATATTTTTTAGACCCGACCCCTTGGTTTCTTTGTTCCTGCTTTCTTTCAGACCCTGCCCCTCTGCAGCAAAGCTCCCTCCAGCGAACGCCCCGGGACGAGGGAGTTGTTCTGGCTCCCCTGCCCTCACCCAGCTTGTTGGGCTCATTTCTGTATCTCCTCCTTTCTGTATCTAGCCAAGGGGGTGGAGGTATGCTTTTCTCCCTGCAAGAAATGGGTCGCTGTAGGAAGCCAAATAGGTCTGTGGCCTGAAACCCAGTATAGCAAAGCCCTGTTTTCCAATGAGCTGCCTGTTTCCAGCTACCCAACCCAGGCAGGAGCAAGCAGTGACCCCCTCTTCTGGACAGCATCTCGGGAGGCTTCAGGCCAGCGCTGATGGGAGCCCTGGCCGCGGAGCTGGGCAAAAGCATTTTGCTTTCTCCTTTATTTGCCGAAAAATGTCCCAAGCCATCCCAAAGGAGAGACCCAGTCTCGTAGCGCCCTGTGTCAGGGACGCTGTTCTGCAAGGAGGGAGCCCCGATGCCAGGCTCTGCTCAGCCTCAAGCCAAAGGTGGTCTTAAACGCAGCTTTCGATGCCCGAGATGAGTGCGCTAACCACCGGAGCACGGGGGGAGGAAGCCAACAAGCCGGCAGCTCCTCCTTGGTTTTGTGAATCATAGAAACATAGAAAATTCAGGTTGAAGGGAGCTCAGGAGGTCACATCTAATCCAACCCCCTGCTCCAAGCAGGGCCAGCCCCAACTGCATCATCCCAGCCAGGGCTTTATCTACCTGAACCTACAAAACCTCCCAAGGATGGAGACTCCCCACCCTCTCTGGGTAACCCGTTCCAGTGTTTCTCCGCCCCTCTAGTGAAAAGTTTTTCCTAATATCCAACCTAACCTTCATTGGCACCTAAGTTCCCCTTGCTTTTTTGCTCTTTATTTCCAAATTTCCTTTGCCCTTACTAAAAATCCCCAGGATGAATCACCTCGTTGCATCTGGGACGTTTTCATTCCACGGCAACGCAAAACAATATCTTCCCTCCGTTTCTCTGTTCAGCCATCCAGTAGAGACCCTGGTTATTAGGTCCGTGTCCCAGTCCCAAGGTGGGCAGGGCGGGCAGAAGGCCCTTGTCTTGCCCCCTGCCACCGATCCTGTTTCTGCCATTGCTTGTGGCGGGTTACGTGCTCTCCTCCTCCCGCAGAAATACCACCAGCTGCGCATCAAGATCCTGGGAGACTGCTACTACTGCATCTGCGGGCTGCCCGACTACCGGGAAGACCACGCCGTCTGCTCCATCCTGATGGGACTGGCCATGGTGGAAGCCATCTCGTAAGCCACCCCATCTTTTCTATCTTGGAAAGCTCCCTTCCGAGCCCCGCCATGAGCTAAACCCCATGTTTGCTGTCTGTTGAAGTTGGTGCTGCTTTGTGACGTGGTGTTTCTTCAGCCCAGCCTGCCTTCCTACATAGGATCACAGGAAAGCAGGGCTGGCAGGGACCTCATGAGGTCTCCCAGTCCAGCCCCCTGCTCAAGGCAGGATCATCCCTGACTAAAAACCATCGCGGGCAAATGTCCGATCGACCTGCTCTTGAAAATTTCTGAGGATGGAGATGCCACAGCTTCTCCCGGCAGCCTGCTCTAATGCCTGACCACGCGCAGAGTCAGAAATTTGCTCCTCGTCTCCAGCCTAAATTTCCCCTGCTGCAGCTGGAGGCTGTTGCTCCTAGTCCCGCTCCCTGTGCCTGTTCCCGGGGAGCTGCAACTCTGCCGTTATGTGATTTCGATAGTTTTTGCTTTTGTGTGTTTGAATGCGCCCCCTCCATTTTTGCATTGAGTTGCATTGCATGTTACCTTGCATTTGCACGGGGGCTTCTGCGATTGGTTTGTCTGGTTCAAAGGAGGGCTGAAGGGGAAAAAAAAAGGGGCATGTTTTAAAAAGCCCCCTTGATTTAGCACTGTGGGTTGTAAAGCTGCAGCACCTCGTGGTTTCAGCTTGCATAGTCACGTACACAAAGCAACGAGCCTATGCAGGTCTGCATTTATAGGGCTGGGGTTTGCAACGAAGCCTAGAAAGGTTGTGGGGGAGTCTAACATCTTTGACTGGGTGTCGATGACTGACTCGCTGAGACCTCCCTTTGTGACCCCTGCCCTCTCTGTCCCAAAGCTACGTGCGAGAGAAGACCAAAACCAACGTGGACATGCGTGTGGGGGTCCACACCGGCACGGTGCTGGGCGGGGTGCTGGGCCAGAAGCGCTGGCAGTACGACGTGTGGTCGACAGACGTAACGGTGGCAAATAAGATGGAGGCTGGCGGCATCCCTGGGTGAGTGCCTCCTTGGGAGACGGACCAGTTTCCTTGCCCTCCGCTGGACTCTCTCCAATGTGTCCACATCCTTTCTGCAGTGGGGGCCCACAGCTGGACACAGGACTCCAGATGTTGTCTCCCCAGTGCTGAATAGAGGGGAAGGATCACTGCCCTTGATCTGCTGGCAGCGCTCCTACCGATGCAGCCCAGGATGCCGGTAGCTTTCTTGGCACCACGGGCACACTGCTGGCTCCTGTTCAGCTTCTTGTCCCCTGTCCCCCCAGGTCCTTTTCTGCAGAGCTGCTGCCCAGCCAGTCACCCCCAGCCTGCACCGGTGCAGGGGATTGTCCTGTCCTAAGTGCAGGACTTTGCACTTGTCCTTGTTGAACCTCATGGGATTTCTTTTAGCCCAGTGCTCCGACTCGTCAAGGTCACTCTGAATCCTAGCCCTACCCCGCAGTGTATCTACTACTCCCCCCTTAAATGCCCTTTGTGCCGCTTTGGCTCCATAACATGATTTTAAGGGCCTCTGCCCAGTGCACTTCAAATGCTTGCTGCTGCGGGCTCTTCTGCATGGGCCAACATTAGCGCAGAGCCCAGCCCACTGACATGGTGGGGTGGAAATTCACCCCCCATAAGGTCAGGAGCCATGCTAGCTGTCTCAGAGCCTCCTGGCCAAGTGTCACAGGATACAGAGTTGGGGGATAAGAGACGTCACACAGACTCTTGCCACCCCCTTCAAGGGCTGAGCCGCCTCCTGCATGGCACGGAGCCGTGAACATCAAAGACAGGGCAGCCAACCCGGCCGTGCTGGGCACATCACCCTTGTGCTTGGCCCCTGCTCCCGGCTTGCACACCTGGGATCGAGGCCTTGGTCTGGATCAGTGCAGCCATCAACAGCTACTTCAGCAGGTGCATCCCCTTCCACCAACCACCCACACAGGACTCGGGCATAGGCTTCATCCAACCCCCTTCTTCATCATAAGGGCCAGTCGTTATCGGGACCCCCATTGAAGTCCCTTGGGGAACTCAATCCCCTCTCCCTCTGAGGCAGGGAACGGGAATGCTAAGCATCGTGCTAGGTGGGCGACTGTGGCAACCCCTCATTGAGGCCAACTTGGTTGGGGGCCCTCTTCCAGCACAAGTTGTGCGAACAGTCACCGAGGTTTTTGGTGGACACGGGAGGTTGTGTCTGTGGCTTTGTAGCACAGGTCAGGGACACGGGTTTGGGACTTAAAGCCCCATCTCAGCCGTGTCCCTCTCAGTCTTCCAGCATTGCTAGGTTGCTACGTCCTTTGCATGGCTTTGGGCAAGGGTGGAATTGCTCAGCTAGGTCCACAGCCCGACTCCTTGGCCTATGGGGGAGGCCGGGGGAGCAGCTGATGGGTGCTGAAGGACGTCTCACTTCTGCTTCTAGGCGAGTGCACATCTCCCAGAATACCATGGACTGCTTGAAGGGCGAGTTCGAAGTAGAGCCGGGAGACGGCGGGTCGAGGTGCGACTACCTGAAGGAGAAGGGGATTGTCACGTACCTGGTCTTGGTGCCCAAGCAGCCCCTCAAGAACGGGATCAATGGCGTGGTGAGTCACTGCCCCCCTCCTCCTCCTCCTCCTCCTCCTGCGGCCTTCTCCTCTTGCCTGGACCATCGCCACTGTGCTCCAGCTCGCATGGTCTTGCCTCTGCCCAGGCCATTTCCCTTCCTACAAAGGGAGACACCATCCTTGTCCTTGGCTCTGCGCCTGTGGACTCGGACACCATTGCATGTCCCAATGGTGCTGTTACAGGAGCAGGATCCAGCACTTTTAGTGAGAGTACATAATTGGGACGGGTCTTCTGGGTATTTCTCTGCTATGTACTGGGTGCTGCGAGACCAGCCTGGATCATAGGAAGACCATCAGGAGTCCACCTCGTCCATGGCCATCCAGCTGGTGACCAGTGGTCCGCAGGCCCTTGTAGACCTGCTCTTGTAGCTAAGTGGTCTCTTCTCCCACTGGCACGCAGGGGCTGCATTGAACTTGAACAGCCCTCACCTGCTCCAGCCCCTTGCTCGCCTTTGAACTATCCCAGCCAAGTGCAGCCTTTTCTTGGAGCCTGGCAATGAGAGAGTTCATGCAGCTTGGCCCTTCTGCTGGGGAGCAGCACGCCTCCAGCTCCCAGGCAGGGAATGGGGCGTTGTTTAAAACGATGGGGATAGTTTAGAGTTGGACACATTTGCAAAAATCAATCAACGGTGGAGCCAGATTGGAGGAAAATAACAACCCCCTCATCACCCCCACAAGTGCTCTCTCCTGCCATATAGCCTACCCCATGGCACACCTATTCCCCTTGCTACTGGCCTGGATATGGGGGCCTGAATTGCCCCCTCAGGGCTCCCTCCTGTTCCAGAAGCTGTCCCTGACGTCGTCGCACGGGAACTCGCCGCTGCTGATCAACACCAAGGAGTGCAACGGCAGCATCAACACCACGTGCACCACACCTGACGAGGGCGAGGAGATAGATGCCCGCGGGAACGGCGCGGAGGAAGAGGGCGAGGTACGGGGGCACATCAGCTGCAGGGGGTGAGGTGGCAGGGGATAAGCGGGGGAAGCCGTGGAGGAGGTGGGGGTCTTCCCTGCCCTTGGGGATCATGGAGTTCATTCCCGCTCCTTCCTTGCGGGGTGGGTTCCTCCATTCTGGGGAACTGAGGAAAGCCCAGCAGGGCCAGGACTTATATTTCTACCTCCAAGTTAAATGCACCGGGACAGAACGGCGCTGGGGCACCTGGAGAGGTGCAGGGCAATATTAAAGGATGAGAGGCCAGGACTGGAGGGGGCAAAAATGGGCCCAGGTGCAGAAAAGTCCAGGCGTGCCAGTGTGTGGTGCCACGAGGACTGGTTCCCCAAACTCACACCCCCTCTGCTCCCCATGTCCCCTGGTGCCCAGGTGGTGAACCCATCCTTCCCCAACCCGCGGCGGCGCCTGCGGCTGCGCGACCTGGCCGAGAGGGTCATCGACGCCTCGGAGAACGAGCAGGAGCTCAACAAGCTGCTCAACGAGGCTCTGCTGGAGAGGGAGTCCGTCCAGGCGTGAGTCACCCCGGCCCCTCCACCCTCCGGGCCCCGTAAGCGGAGGCCACTCGCCCACCATCTCCCGAGACCCCCAGAGCACCCTCCCTCCCCAGGGATGCCCTGTTGCATCCTTTGACCCTAGCTGACTTCCTGCCTTTGGGGCAGGGGGCTGGATTCGATGATCTCCCGAGGTCCCTTCCAGCCCTAATGTCTATGAAATCTGTGCACCTCGGACCACCTGCCCAGAGGCTGTCCCGGCTCTGAGGGATCTGCTTGCCCTCCCCATTGCCCATCAGAGACTGGCTGTGCATCTGCAATAGCCACTGGTACTGCATCCCCCGTCCTCATGCTCTACCCCACCTCAAGGCTCCTCTTCCTCCCTGATCAGGCCTGGTCTTTCCCACCAGCCTGGTTTTGTTCCCCCTGGTGCCACAAAAGCAAGCCGGTAGGGGAGGGACGGATGGAGTACTCCCTCCTCCCTGCCCGGGGGACACTCACCGGGGGTGCCGGTGTCTCGGGCAGGTTGAAGGGGAAGAACACGTACCGCCTGTCCATGCGTTTCATCGACCCCGAGATGGAGACGCGCTACTCCGTGGAGAAGGAGAAGCAGAGCGGGGCCGCCTTCAGCTGCTCCTGTGTCGTCCTCTTCTTCACTGCCCTGGTGGAGATCCTCATCGACCCCTGGTGAGCCTGGTCTACCCTTGGGCTGGTGGCTCGTGGGGCAGGGAGAGGGCTAGAGCGGTGGGGTCCGGCCGCCTTTGTGGTGTCTCTCAGTCCTGCTGGAAAGGCCAGGGAGGAATTCTCTGCCCGTAGCTTCATAGCGGTCCAAGTACGTGACAGTCCCCTTCTACTTCAGGTAGCGGTCCTAGGATCATAGCATTAGACCAACACCAGGAGCTTCAGGGCTGGGCTGAGACCTCCCACACTCTCATTTCACATAGGACACGGTGTAGTCATGGTGGGGCATCAGTTTTCAGCCTCATATGAGCCAGATGGCAGCAGGGGACCTGGGTAGGCATAAACAAGGGGCGCCGATTCTCAGCCAGTGGAAAGGGGGCACGTCTGCATAGGCAGCAGTTCCAGTTGGCCCATTAATGCTGCCTCTGGGTCTGGCCTGAGATGCCCAGCTGCATTGCCAAAGTGATGGCCTGACCCTGCCCTGTGCTCTCTGCTCCTCTCCCCGGCTGCTCTTGGGCTCCTGGGAACATCGCGGGAGCAGAACAAGGCCTGCGAGCAGCCGCCCTGGAAAATACAATTTGTCAGTGAAGCATTTTCCATGGCTGGGTTGCACAGCAGGGCCCGCAGCCACGGGTGCAAACTCCCTGAGCCCTGCGGCAGCTGCCGGGCTCGGAGCATGGCGGGGGCAACTCGTTCTCATTAAGTCCTATTGACAGTCGCCTCTCCCGCACCCCGGGGGAAGGAGTTGAGCAGTGAAGCGAGAAGGCCAAGGGGCTGGGTCAGGTTGTGGGATGTGGGGGTGCATGGGTAGAGCACGCGTGTATCATGCCAGGTCCAGGTCCGATGCTCTGCCTGACATAGATTTCATAGACATTAGGGCTGGAAGGGACCTCATCGGATCATAGGGGCTGCTACACAGGTGTGGGAGAAAGGTGACGGCACAGGCCAGCATTTCTATCCTGGTTCTGGGCAGTATCTCTCACAGGGCTCAGCCACTGGCCGTGGAGGGGGAGCTGCCTTCTTCTGTACCATGGGGCATGGTCGTTGTCCTCGGAAATGAGCAGATATTAACCAGCGACTTCCTGTCGTTGCAATGGCAGGGCATCAGCCGTGCCCTCGTCTCCTGGCTTTTACCTGTGCCAGATCTGGGTCTTGTGCAACCTGTGCCTTGGAGATGTGGGCTAAGTGGTGACATGGAGGATTATTCAAGTTTCTGCAAACACGGGGAGCTGGACTGGGTGGTGCAGGGGCCCCCTTCCCAGCCCGACCTTCCTTCCCATGTGGCTTAAATCTCCATGTCTCCAGAAGCACAGGGCTGGAAAAGACCCTCCAAGACCTTGACTGGGATCCCCTGCATTTGCAAGCTGCTGATTCATGTGATCCAGTTCATAAATCCCTGAGGCTGCTAACGCAGGGGACTGCCAGGCAGGCGCTGGGTCCAGACGTCCCCGCTGACAGCCCCACAAGCTTAGCTGGGCTGCTGTGACAGCCCCGTGGCCCCTCCAAGAGCCTCACCTTTCAGCTGCAACTTGGGGTTTTCTTGCTGCCACGCACCCGCCCTCGCTGCGCTGCTTCACTGATGCTGAAAGCTGGGAACTGAGGCTCTCGATTCGAAGATGAGCTCTCCCACGGCTCATTGATGGGTCTCGAGGTGACATACGAGTCCAATCGATGAGCTACAGATCCATCCACAGAAGCAGCAGGTCTTCTTGCAGGGGAGAGTAGGCCACAGGCTGGGATCCCTCTCCTTTTCCTTTGCTTCCTTCTCTGCTTCGAAGGCAAGACGCTTTACCTTGAAGCAGGCTGCTGCTTGGTTGAGAGCACTGCTTCCCTGCAGAGGACGGCAGTTCATCTTTCCGGTTGTTCGTTGTCTTGATTATCTGCCAAGGTGTGAACGTTTCACGTTGCAAAAATCAGGGCCGGACACAGGCATGGGCGAACCGGGCAGCCGCCTGGGGCCCAGACATAAAGGGGGCCTGAAAATAGTAATTTTTTAATTATTATTATCATTATCTCTGGCAAAGGGGGCCTGATCCTGAACGTTTGCCCGGGGCTGCCAGGAGTCTAGGTACGGTGCTGGCAAAAATCATTGTCGTCTTACGATGTTTTCGACCACAGAGAGAGCGATCCCTCTGGACATGGGTTATCCAGCCAGGGGCAGATAAGACAGACTAGGTTTAGGGCATCTTTTCTAGCAGAGGGGATCCCGAATAGGACTGCTCAGCCACAGTAGCCGCTGCCGAATTGCACCCCTGTCTCAACCCAGGCGCAAGACGTCCATCAGGCTACCGCCAGCTGTGCAGATTCGTGGCTGGAAACTGCTGGATTCACTGAGCTGATCTCCGTCACCACTGGTCCATCGCTGCAGGGTTTTTGGAAGTTGGTACGGGACAGTGTTGTTTCCTGTGGTAGAAGCCAATGCGAGCTGGTGCGCGGAAACAGCAACCACACAAGGCGGAGATCTGAGCCCAGTGGCAGGAGAAAACCCTAGACAACAGGAGACCTCCAGCTCTCTGTAGCTTTCTTCCATCTTTGCATCTGCTGAGATGCTGACATCTTCTTCCCCCTGGTCTGCTGTTGAGGACGTGGGGTTGGACTGCCATTCGTCTGGGCCATTTGCCAGGGATGCAAGACCCGGATGAGACGGCTCGGAGGATCGCGGGGACGCACAAGCCTCTCCACTGCTACACGGTCTCAGTCCACAGAGAGGGGGAACTGAGGCAAAAGAAGACTGAAAGACCAGATCTTTAAAGGGATTGAGATGCCTCATTCCAGGGGAGTTAGGTGCCTAAGTAACTTTAAAAGTCTAGCCTTGCCTGGGTCACTTAAGGGGTCATTTCTTCCTGACTTTGAGAGCAGCAGGATGGTGGGACCAGCTGCCCAGGGGGGCTGTGGAGTCTCCATCCCTTGAGGCTCCCAGCAGAGGCTGGGCATCGTCTCTTTGGGCTGCAATAGAGACAAGGCAGCTTAGGTGTGGGCAAGGACCTTCCAGGTCCCTTCCAGCCTAGGATTCGAGAGTCTGTAGTGCTGTGAAAAGTCCCCGGTGACAGCAGCGGGGTGCTGCGGGAGTGCAGTTGTATTGGGCCACCCCGTCAAACAGTTGCACGACTACCTTTGCATGGTGCTAGTGGTCAGCCCTCTTCCTCTCTCTGCAGGCTGGTGGCCAATTACGTGACATTCGTTATCGGGGAGATCTTGCTGCTGATCCTGACCATCTGCTCTCTGGCTGCCATCTTCCCCAGGGTAAGAGGACGAAGGGCTTGGTCCTCACGGGTCCTGGACACCCGCAGTGCCTACAGGTGTCGGTGGGAGAGGATGGCATCAGCAGGGCTCAGCCGTGGGGCAGAGGCACCAGACTGCTAGGGGCTAATGGAGAATCACCTTTAGCTCAAGGCAAAGGGGCCTGTGTTGTCTGAGTTCACTCACACTGGGAAGTGTCCAGTGTCTCACGCTGCCCTGGAGGCACGTTACCTGGACATTTCTGCTCAGCACGGAAATAGGTAACAAATAGTCCCCACTCCGCAGCGGAGTTGACACCTAGTGAGGGGGACAGAGCG